AATCTTCACGCTGACGAAAAACAAAATGGCGACCATAACAAAAACACTCGCGTAATCTTACACATGTTACAACGAATTTGATTGGCTGCTGTTTTTCTCGTAAATTGTGAGACTGGAACGAGAGTTCCTATGCGAGTTGTTCAGATCCAGGTGGCTTTCACGAACAAAACCATTCTTGCAGCAAAATAATTGTAACGTTAAAAAATAATTAAAATAAATAATAATAATAATTATAGTAAATAATTAAAATAAATAATAATAATTATATAAAAAAAAAATAAAAAAAAATTAAGCCAACCAGGATCTTATTTTAATCAGATTGATTACATGTACTGCTGCAGAGGTGAAGTTCGAGGTAGGTTTATGCGTGTTTCGATGAATTTCGTAATTGTTACTGACAAACAATCGTTGTTTCTTTGCATACTTGTTTGTAGCTGTTGTCCTGCTGCGTAACTTTACGTTCGATGGCCGACTGGTTATTTAGCTTCTCAGACTTGAAACTTAAAGATTACGCCCGTAGCAAGTTTTGCAAAGAACTACTTGAATTCAATTGCGCCCCAAAATGATGTCGCTGATCACTCAGTTATCGCGACGTATGTTGTACCAAATTTTGACCTCGGCTTTTTTTTCTAAGTGCATGCGACCTCTCACCAATGTATTAAAACACTTTGAATTTATACTTTGCGTGATTATATTTGGTCTACGCGGAACATTAAACTGTCTAAACATTATCTGAGACCATGCATGATGTATATTCACACAATCATATTTTATATTATGTACGTCTTTCATTCCAAGGCTCAGACAAATAAAACAAATGTTCTTCTGCCAACTATTATAGACTAGTTTCCAAGCTTTTGACTAAGGCAAATTTATTTAATTTTCCATTGGAAATTTTTTTGATTCTTGTAATTTCCCAGTCATTCATGGTCTTGACAATAAATGTGAATTGCCGTGCGAGCCTAGAGTTAGAATAAAGGGAATGAACGCGAAGCTTTCTAATTATGCCGGCCAGTAAAATACAGAGATTTCAAATATTATAAATAAAATGTATACAAGTGTTGTAATGTCCGATGTAATAGTCACATGTCGAGTTGAGTTGAGTTTAATTTAATTTTAATTTATAATGTGAACTATTCCAGTTCATGGATGCCAATGAAATTTGAGAACAACAATTCTTTTAAATGAATGTATCAAGTATACACATGAATTATTTGCCCCATTCTAATTTGCGATTGATATGTTTGTGTGGGCTTGATTGGCACAGTCGTAGAATAATAGATTTTCTTGGATTAAAACAGTTTGCGAGCAGGGGTACAGCCACGTATGACTGCATGCATTTTAAAAGGGCGTACACCCACCCCCAGGAAACTTTAAAAATTACGACCGCATGGATTCACATTATCTATGGGGAGTGTGCATGATATGACCCCCCTCGGAATTAAACCATCTGTAGGGGTGTGGATATAGAAAAAAAATAATCAAAAAATGACACCTCTCGGAATTGGACCATCCATACTTTTTGTAGAAATATAACCCCTCGGATTTAACCCATCCGTAGGGGAGGGGGGGTGTGGACAAAAACTGGAATGACCCAGGGTGCTGGACATCTCGACCCATTTTTCATTTGACAACTCGACCCAGGACCCCTAGACATCTCGACCCACCTATTTCAGACGACCCGCCGCCTTGACCTGATCCCAATAGCGTCGTACTTTTCCCAGTGCGCGTAGACCACAGTGTTTGTTTCACTGATTTATTATTTTTTGCTGCTTTTGCTGTTCATTTCACAGCACGCGACCCCTGAAAGTGACGTTATTTTTGGATTGATCCATTGCGCTTAAGGTAGAAGCCTTCTCATAAATTAAAAAACCCAGAATTTATTCATTTTGCAATAAATTGTACTCCAAGGCATTATAAGGATATAGACCTAACAAAGTTGGGGGTCACCAGTCTTTTTTTCGAGAAATTGATGGTTGTATTTTAGTGGAAAGTCGCTATTTTGACACTATTATAACACTTTTACCACAGGTACCTATGGCAGAGATATTATGCAATATCTCAAAATCTAGCCTGGTGACATAGGCTGAAAAAATCATATATTGTTAATGATAGGGTACATTTTGTTGTTCTGAATTATTTAAAAAATCTGGGTTTTAAAAAGTGTCAAAAAATGCAATTTTTCTTTAACATGTGTTCTATGCAATTGTTCTAAAAATAGCAATTTTCAAGGAATATTAGGACACGTTTCTCAAAAAGCATAACTGTAACACACAAAATAATGCTATTTCATTGTACCACGAGACATTAGCTTCATGATTGTACATAATAAACTAATGAACATTGTCATGCGATTTATGACTAAATTTGTCAGAAATTATGACTAGGCTTCTACCTACAAACTTCTAAAACCCAGAATTCCTTAATAATCACTATAGATAATCTCATGTGCCTTATTTTTCTCTGTGAATAAGAAAAACATAGGGTTACCAGACTATTTTCATAGCTTTGGGGAGGGGGTAACTATGGAACCTGGCCCTAAGGTAAATATGAATGTCAAATTACAGCATGTTCACTCAGTGTTTCCAATTGAACATAGGACTGAATTATTTTAGGCAAAATAGAATTTATTTTTCACAATTACCAGCCAACTTAGGGGAAAAAACGGGCATTTTGATATTGGGAGCAAGTCCCCCAGGCCATT